AGGCTTTCCCTTCAATATAAGTCTATTGATTTTTGTTTTTGTTTGTCTGTGGCCATACTTGACTGTGCTCAGGGATTACTCCTGGCTTTGTGTTCAAGGATCTCTTCTGGTAGGATCAGGTGACCATATGTGGTGCTGAGGATTATACCTGGGTATGACATGTGCATGGCCAGTGAGAGGTAATGGGGAAATAGCGGGCAAAGATCTCAGGTAATTGGTAATGTGGGCGGTGGTTTAGTTATGTATTCAGACCACCAACTCAACAACAATGAAAACACACAATCAAAACTACAACCAGCATTGGGAAAATTGGAGGCAATGGTGGAGGGAAGGTGTAATGGTGGTGAGATTGGTGTTGAACTACTGAATGCCTGCAATAAATAATCATGCATCACTTTTAAACTACAGTGTGTATATAAAGTTTAGGGAGGAAATTTAGATATGTAGGTCTTACGCCAAACACAGTAACAACAAAGTCTCCAATGGAGACGTTACTGGACCCGCTCCAGCAAATCGATGATCAACGGGAGGGCCTTTACCTACCTTTACCTAGGTCTTACTTATCCCATGTAGCACTGTAGCACTGTCCTCCCGTTGTTCATCGATTTGCTCAAGCGGGCACTAGTAACGTCTCATAACAAATTGTGGGACTTGTTGTTACTGTTTTTGGCATGTTGAATACATCACAGGGAACTTTCCAGGCTTTGCTGTGTGAGTGAGATACTAGTAGCTTGCTGGACTCTCTGAGAGGGGCAGAGGAATCAAATCCAGTAGTCTGTGTGCAAGGCAAACACCCTACCTGCTGTGCTATCGCTCCAGCCCTATCCCATGTATCCCATGTAAACTTCAAAATATATAAAGTAGAATTGCTTTAAAAGCTTTATTAATGACAGATGAAGCATGATTATTACCATAATAAAATCCAAGTATAAAATAAAATTTAATGTAATATATTTTATATTCCAGAGTTGAAAACATATATGTGTAAATGAGAATAGTCCGATAGATAGCACAGCGGTAGGGCATTTGCTTTGCACGCAGCCAACATGGCCAACCTGAGTTCAATTCCTCCGCCCCTCTCAGAGAGCCCGGCAAGCTACCAAGAGTATCTCGCCCGCATGGCAGAGCCTGGCAAGCTCCCCGTGATGTATTCGATATGCCAAACACAGTAACAACAAAGTCTCCAATGGAGACGTTACTGGGCCTGCTCGAGCAAATCGATGATCAACGGGAGGGCCTTTACCTTATTAAATCGTTTAAATTTTCTTATATGCATAGGTCAAAATCAGATAGTAATCACAAATTAGCTCTTACTGATTTAATTTCTGATCATTCTATTTGCCATTTCTTTAAGTTTTGTTGGAAGCAGTCAATTTATTATGTGCCAAAGGGGACACATAGGGATTGGGAGGGAGACTGGGGATATTAGTGGAGAGAGGTCACACGAGCAATGCTGAAACACTAAATGCTCAAAACAATTGTATATTGGACGCTTTGTAAATCATGCTGTTTTTAATAAAAATTCACGATCATGGTCCTCCCATTGTTCATCGATTTGCTCAAGCAAGCCGAGTAACATTGTGAGACTTGTTACTGTGTTTGGCATATCGAATACGTCACGGGTAGCTTGCCAGGCTTTGCCGTGTGGGCGAGATACTCTCGGTAACTTGCTGGACTCTCTGAGAGGGACAGAGGAATCGAACTCAGGTCGGCCATGTTTGCTGCGTGCAAGGCAAATGCCCTACCCACTGTGCTATTGCTCCAGTCTTAATAAAAATTAACTTTAAAAAAAGGAATTAAAATGTTTGAAAGCTTCTTTGCTGTTCTTCATGGAAATAAAACCTGGATCAACCATTAAAAATAAACAAACCCTACAATCACCAAACTTTTTTATGTGCCCATCAATGTAGCATGCTGGTGGAAGGGACCGGGGTGGGGTCTGGGAGGGAACATCGGAACACTGGTGGAAACTAGCTCTCTAGTTTTCTAGGATTGTTGCTAGAACATTATATACATTATATACCTCAACTCTCAATAACTTTGAAAATCACGATTTTTTAAACAAAAATATTACTTAAAAGAAAGAAGAAACATTCAGGAACCAAGTCAAATTCATACAAGTCTAAATTTTCTGACCTTTCCTTATACTGATGCTCAGTCCTTGATTTTCATTCCCCTGGTGCCAACACCCATTTAAAGAGAGAATTTGGGGCAAAGAGTACTGGGTGCATCTAATAACCAGTGGTGTCACATGACTCAACTATATTTTGATATATCGTTATTTTGAACAACTATATATTTAAAAACTATAAATCTTCTTTGGACTTTGTACCTTATGTTTATTGCTTCAATCATTCTGACAAGAATAAAGAGTAAAGAATAAAGCAGCATCTACTGCCCCACCATACATACACACACACGCATACACACACACACACTTAATTTATTTTTCCATTTTTTTATTGAATCACCGTGAGGTACAGTTACAAAACTTTCATGTTTGAGATTCAGTCAAACAATGATCAAACACCCATCCCTCTACCAGTGTACACTTTCCACCACCAATGTCCCCAGTATCTCTCCTGTCCCCCCCGCCTCTATGTCAGACAATTTCCTTCTTACTCTCTCTCTCTACTTGGGGGCATTATGGTTTGCAATACAGATACTGAAAGGTTATCACATTTGGTCCTTTATCTACTTTCAGCACACATCTCCCATCCCGGATGATCCCTCCAACCACCATTGACTTAGTGATCCCTTCTCTATTCCAGCTGCCTTCTCCCCCAGCTTATGAGACAGGCTTCCCATGGAGCAATCTTCCTGTCCCTTGTGTCTACTGTCATTGGGTGTCAGTCTAATATTATGTTAATTTACATTCCAAGATGAGTGCAGGAATTCTATGTCTGTCCCTCTCTTTCTGACTCTTTAGAGACACTTTATTTCAACACCATGGTTTTCAAAGTTGTTCATGATGTTTTGTTATAGGCTTTCAATATTCCAAAACCAGGCCCACCACCAAAAATTTTCATTAAGTTGCCCATGGTACTACAGATAAGGAAAGTAACGAACCTTCTCTGGTGTTTAACCCAGGAGTTAACTACCTCACATTCAGAATAACAGAATGTCTGAGTGTGAGGAGTGGGGTGTAGGAGCTGGGTTCAGGAAGAGTTGGGCAGATTCTGTTTGTGGTTCACAGGGGTTAGAAGAACGTCCTCCCAGGAGAGCGAGGCGAAGCGAACCAACTGACCTTCTGGGTCTGCCCACAGCCTCCCAAGCCTTCCCTGGCAGCTGCCTTTCATGGCCACGCTGAGCTGTCCGAAAGTGGCACATCTTGCCTGCTCCCTTGCAGACTGCTCTCTCCACCTGGAAGGCTGACAGCCTCCTCCCATAGAGGGCCACAATACCCTTTCTCCTACCCAGGCGCGTCATCCTGCCTTCCTTTGAGTTCCCTGAAGAACTTATCTGTTCCACTAACAGGGGCCCTGGTGCTTTTTCTGTGTCGCAGCGCCTTACAGGGACCAAGGCCCTTTCCCGCAGTCCTTGTCCAGCTCCCTTCAGGGATCCATGCTGACCCCTTGCACTGGGGCTCCCTCTTCTCAGAGTGAGTACTCTCAGGGCCCTCTCAGGTGGGCCTGGCTGATGCGCGATGGGTCCCTGCTGGCGTGCCCCATCCCCGCTCCCCGGAGTGCGCGGGTCGCGGTGCTCAACCCCTGGCAGCCGTGCCCGCTTCTCCTGCGACCGCGCTCCCACGCTCGCGGGATGGAACGCGCGATCCTAACTTCTGCGAGTAGGTGGGAGGGAGGGAAGGCGAGAGGTATTCCATTGGTTGTCTGGGAAAATGCACTGCACCTTCCCTCTGTGCGGAGAGCCAACTTCACCCACAACCCGGGCCACCGCGGAGCCCGCGAGCCCCGCGGCTTCGGTCCCCTGGCGCTGGGCGGGCGTGGGTGGCTCCCGAGCTGTCCCGTGCGCCCCCGCCGCGGCGGCGGCCGGGCCTGAGAGTGACCTGGCCGGACGGCGGGGTCCCTCGGGGCCGCCAGCACCGTGGCCTGCCCCGGGCCGCCGAGGGTTAAGCGCGGAGCACTGAGCGGAGAGCGATGCGGGCGCGGGACGGGGCGGGGGTGGGCGCGGCTGTCCCCCGCGACGTGCCGGCGGGTCCGGCCGGGGCGCGGGGCGCGGGCGGGGGTCAGCGGCTGGGGGACGCGTGGCCGCTACCCGGCCCGAGAGCCGCCGAGGGGACGCGCGGGCGCAGGGGCCGCTCGGGAGCGAGGCGGCGGGTCGGAGCCGCGGGCGGGGCGGCGGGAAACGGGGAAGCGCGCGGGGCGCAACTTGAGGAAGTCATTGTGCAAGGGCCGCGGCCGGGCGCGCTGACAGGTGCCCGCGGGCCGCTCCCGCCGCGCACAGCCCGGGGGCCCCAGCGCCTCGCGCCCCGCGCCCAGAGTCCCCGCCCCGCCGAGCGCCCCGAGCCCGGCCCCGTCGCACGCACAGCCCGGGTGCCGCCAACGCCCGCGCCCGGTGCCGGCGACGCCCCAGCCCGGTGCCCGCCCGCTCCCCGAGCCCGGCCCCGCCAGCGCCCCGAGTCCCAGCGCCCGCCGGCGCCCCGCGCGCCCCGAGGCTGCTCTTCGCACCTACGGAGCAAGCTGAGCCCCCAACGCGCGACGCGCCGAGCCACGTGAGTGTGTCTAGATCGAGTTTCAGCGGGAAAGTCGGGCGCCGGCGGGTGCGGGAAGGGGCTCGGCCGCTGGTGCGCACGGACGCGCCCCCCAAGCCGGGCACGGCGCCCTCGCCCCAGCCCCGCGGACGGGCGCGGAGCTCACAGGGGAGAGCTGCCGGCTCCTGCCGGGGATGCGCAGTTCCCTCCCCAACTCGCCTTCTGCAAAGTCGGACCCCGGCGTGGCAAAGTTGGCGGCGCTCTGGCTGGAGGCGGTTCTGGCTCTCGGCTACCCAGCCCCGGGGTGCTAAGGCGGCGGTTCACTTGTGGCTGTGTCTGATACGTGATTTTCAAACTGGCAAGGAGCGTTGGTGATTCCTGAAGTTCGGAAGGTGTGCTTAATTTTCCCTCTTCTAATTTGGAGGCAGAGTAGGGGGCGAGAGATTGAATAGGGTCTGATGAGCACGCTGCGCTTGCCGCGCAGGCTTCTTTCTTTTGAGGTCCCTTGCCCAGGGCGAGCGTTGGCGAGGCGCGGCTCTGCACGGTGCAGGCGCAAAGCTCCCACCCGCATCCCGACTTCGCAGCTCAGCCTCCAGGAACCTGGCTTTAAACTTGGAGACGAAATGGTGTGAAGAAATCACTGCTTACTAGTCCTGTCCGTCTCCATTAGAAAAGAAAAATCTCGTGTATGTTAGAGATAACTCATATGTATAGTATCCATAATGGACAGTTAAATCATTTTAAGGATTTAAAATATTAATTCAAGGAGTAATTCGCATTGGTTATGAGTTGAAAGGAGAAAAAATCTCCAGGAAGCAGTTAGAACTTTTGGAGGTTACCTTTTTGTTGATAGATACTTCTTTGATGAGGTTAACTCATCTTTTATATGGGATTTTATCAGTAATGATTGAAGTGTTATTTGTATTGTGTCAGAATTTTTTCAGCACCAATAAAATTATTTGGTGCAAGATTAAAAGTGTCAAAAATCTATGCGAGGAAGATTGCCTGCCTATATCATAGGATATGTGGGATATTAAGAATAATTTGTACATTAAGTATAAAAATAATGATGTCACATTTTCAAATCCTATGCAATTCTGGTTTGCTATAGTGTATCTGGCTTCAGAATTTTCCACAAACATCTCTGCTCATACCTCTTTCACATGGAAAAATGTGTTTTCCAATCTTGAAATCCTTAGAAGCTAAACAACAAGACATTTTCTTGAGTTATGTCTTTATTTTTAATTTCCCTTTTGTTTTTGAGGATAGTTGAAGGCAGGAGTTTCAGAAAATCTACCGTTCTTGTTCACTTAATTCGTCAGTGTTTTAAGTAAAGTGCTACATCTTGCAGAGACTGCATCCTCTGAAATTCCGGAGCACTTTGGTAATAATAAATAGTCCAATATGTTCTCACAGGGTGAGTTCAGAAGCTCTGCAAGTAGAAATGTGCATGTGTTATACCTGACCCTTTGGATAAATTTGTCTGCAGTGTCCTAACCATTTTCCTTCATGAAAAATTAAGATTTGAGTAAATTTCCTAACCCTGAGACTTGAATGCTAGCAGTATCTGAGGCTTCTCTGTTTCAGTCACTTAACAAAGACTTAGAGTTTGAGGACACTGTTTCTTTGGTTTGGGGATTTTTCCTCCCAGGACTTCGTGTTGAGTCAACACCAAGTTATGTTTGGTCAACATCTTATCAATATAAATTTATCAATATAAATTTGAAGTATGAGAAAACCTTGTGTATGAACCTATTATCACCATGTAAACTATGCTAAGAATTCATCGCCCAGCCCCACATACACACATCATGTGTAGCCCTCAAATTTATGTGAGTATTAGTTAGATATGAGAAATGACATGAACATCCATATGACCAGAGCATGAATATAGCACTGAGACAGGTATATGGACAAAGAGGGTAAAGGGTTCTACATCAAACACCCAAGCAAAGTAAGAGAGTCCCTTATTTTTGCTTGTTACCTTTTACTAAAGAAATGAATTTTCCTATTTATAGTGATGACTTTGAGTCTCCATACATATTAGGAAACTGCTGTCATTCCAGAATTATATGTAAGGATTTACATATATTTAGTGGTTTAGTGGCATTTTGGTAATTTTCCCTTTCTAGAACTAAGCTTTGATTATGAAATTATTTCTGTAAGTGTTGATTTCTGTTACTTTATTCCAAAGGACATTCACAAGAATTTTTATTCCGGGGACTGTAATTCTTGTCTTTAATCAGGAGATCTACTGGTTAGCAGATCTGGGCTACTACTAACCAACCCTCCTGCTTTACATGTAAACATCATTCTTTGCTGTCTCTCTACACACTCATATTCCCAGAAAACTCAGACAGGTATACATAATCATTTCGTTTCAGAGGAGAAAGCATGACATTTTAAAGTGCCTAAGTGACCCAGTCTTTCAGTTTCTAAGAGAACTGTTGGTCCAGTTTACACCCTGAGACAGATAATTGTGTTTTGCGCAAAACAGGCCCATGTGTATGTGTGGTCCAGGTGTAAGGCACGTTGGATTTCAGTGGATCACTATCACAAATGTTTAGATTAGGAGAGAAAACAGGAACAGGGTTTTGAGGAACATTGCACCCCAGCCTGCACTGGGACAATAGCAAAACTACTCTTATTGTGTTGACGAGACACTGACACTGGGTTCTCCATGTAGTTCCATGGCCTTTGGGGTTTGGGTTTTTTTTTTTCTGAATTTGAAGAATGATTTCACATCTCTGGATATCTTCCTGCATTATCTTGTTACCCTGTAATATCTATTGTTAGTAATCCTTCTATTTTCAGAGCGACAGTTTCAGCAGGTTTAATTTTAGTGGGTTTATAGTTTTTAAATGTTTGATAATGTTCTAAGACATTGGAAAACATCACAAGTGAGTGTTGCTGAAGTGTCGCAAACACTTCTGAAGCCTACAAATGCCTAACCGAGCAAGCGTGGCCATAAGTGTCTAAATGAAGTTGATTTTGTGGAAGGCCCACCCTGCTGGAGCAGGTGGTTACACTGAGAGAAGAGCCTGCAGAGAAGGCAGCGAGGCTGAAGCCACAGGCCATTGCTGAATCATTTTAGTTGACTTCTTTTGTCATATTTTACTGTAATAAATAGGTGAGTGATCTGTTTTCCATGAACCACCTGTGAAATTCTTTTTTTAATGGTGAAACCCAGTCCAAGCCTAGAGGCCACTTGTCTCCCCTCCAGCCTCTGCCCTGTCTCCCGTCCAGCCCCTGCCTTGTCTCCCCTCCAGCCCCTGACCTGTCTTCCCTCAAACCCCCACCCTGTCTCCCCATTAGCCCCCACCCTGTTTCCCTTCTCCCATGGCCATTTTTGCCTTTGGGGAACTCACAATTCCTGTTGACTAAGAGAGCTCCCTCTGCCACCACAAGACTGTCAAATCAGACGTCTTAATAATCTCTGAACCCGTTTTGGTCAGGACAGGAAACACACGCTCCCTTCCTGCCTCTGTTGTCCTGAGAGAACACTCTCTTCCCTCCATTTTTGCATATTTGGCAAATGGTTCCACCTTGCTCCCCGCCTTGTGGAGTGTGAAGGAGCCAGCTATTGTAGAGTCGCTTCCAGGTGCCTGAGTAAGGAGCCCCCAAGCACCAGCTCTCAAGAGCCCAGTGCTCCAGGTCAGAGTTGGTGTAGAAAGGCGTGTGGGAGGTGCAGACTCACTGGTGAGTGTTGCACTGTTTCTTTGCTGTGCTTGCAGAGCTGGGAATAACCTGTGGGCTTCTCTTCCCAGGGCTGTACCCTGGCACCTGCTGGCCCCATCCTGCCGGATGTCTCAGGTGATGGAGAGTACCATCAAGCTCCATTTGCACACTTTGCTTTCAGCTTGTCCCATGCTCCATTTCCTGATGGCTTGGGGGCTTGGGGTCATGGCTTAAGGAATTGCTTAAAATGGGCCCTAATTAGTGGGAAAATGCCTTCTTCATATTTTCTCATTCAAGTGTGCAATGATTCATTTTTCTTCAGCAATCAGCTTAGTGTTAAAGCAAATCTGACTGTCTTCCTGCCATTTTCGCGCCAAAACTGAATTAAAATGGAGGTGCCCTGTACGACTCAGAGCATTACAAGGCAACACAATATAAAGGTGGCCCAAGTTGATTCATTGATTCCTCATCCCTGTCTCTGTCTCTCTATCTCTCTGTGTCTCAGTCTCTGTCTCTGTCTCTCTCTCTCTCTCTCTCTCTCTCTCTCTCTCTCTCTCTCTCTCTCTTTCTCTCTCCTCCCCCCTTGTTTTTACTCTCCTCTTGTCTTTTTTCTGTCTTCCTTTTTTATTTGTAAAGTTTTTCCAGAGACTAAACAACAAAGATGGTATACAATATTCTTTAATGGCCTTATACATACTAAAAGACATTTTAGTGCTCCAGTTTTTTAAATCACATACCAAAATTGATGTGCCAGAGCGTTTTCTGGCAGTTTGAAACTGTTTGTATTCGAGCAGTATGGGCTTGGATATGAGTCCTTTTCTAAAGCTATGAGTTCCACTATGAAGATCAATATGTCCATTTTTGGTAATTTTTTTTAAATATCAGATTTTCACTAACAAATCCAAACAAATGAACTGGCATATAAGATTTCCCATAAGCAAGTGGGAAAATGTTTAATTTAGAATCTCTAGGAGAAATGAAAATGAGGAATTGATCTTTTATAAGCTTACTTCTGTGGCACTCTGAAATGTCCTCCAGGCCTTTAATGGAACCCAGAAAGCCATTGGCCCCCTGTTGAGAGCCCCACTTCTAGTCTGAAAAGTGACCTTTTCCTACTTCTCTGTGCCTTTTTGTAGAGAAGAAAATTAAGGTGATATTCAGAAGATACACAGGAAAATCATTGACAAATTGTGTATTCCACTTCACTAAAATCATAAAGCTAATTCTCTCAAATTTTTATGATAAAGCAACTAGTTATCATTTTGAATATTTGTGAATTTTCTAGAACTTTTCTATGTGTGTTTTACCATTTCTCTCTGAGATTGTATATGTTTCCTTCAATTTAAAGGTTTTTAAGTTTAATGAGTGTCAGATAAGGCTTTTTATAAAGGAAATGTAATTTGCTTTAACTAAACAATACAGAGTAAAATGTTGGAAGTAAATAATTTAAACCCATTTAAAGGTCACAAAGAAACTTAACTTTTTGGTTTATAAAATTATTTTTCTATGTTTTCATAGATATGAGCATTTTTGGAAAGATTATAAATAAAAGACAGGCTTATTTCTATAGTCCTACAAATGAGGAAGTTGTAAGCTGCTTTGAGGTTCTACTAATGACATCCCCTGTCTCTCCCTGTTTATGCATGAGGACAGTGTAGGCTAAAGGTTGTGAGTTACAGAGTCTGTTCCAAGCAATCCTCATTGAGCCTGATTT